CTCACCGGCTGCTAGTCGATCTCGTCCATTCGTTGCAAGATTACTTCGTGCTTCCGCCATGTCGCGCGTCGACGTCAATAGTCTCGCACCTGCGCGAATTCCAAAACTTCAAGTCAAAAATCGCACACCGCTAGACCAGATCTCGATATCGACAACCTCGAGCGGAGAGCCGAGAGAGAGCGAAGACCCCGACGCCATCAGTTCAATTCCCCCACGAGACGAGAATCCTCTTCGCAATTCTACCGGGAGCTCATCTTCACGTGTAAACTTAGACCGCAAACTATCCGCCACCACCACTCTGGCTAGCAATGTCTCTGGCTCTGTATCGAAAAGCCCGAAGAAGGAGAAAAAAAAGGGGCCCTCTGTATTTGGCTTCTTGACCCTGAAAGAACCTTCACAGACAGCCCTCGAGCAATTCGCTGAGAGAACACGCCAGCAAGCCGCCGAAAAAGCTGGATCACAGAGTACGGGTCGAGTCAACGCCGTTGGCCTATCTGGCGTCTCTACCCAAAAACTGCCACCGAATGTCCCTAAAGTGAATTCAAAGTGGGATGGAATTCCAGAGTCTGTCAAGGCGAAAGAGGCGGCGCAGCGCAAAAGCATATCTGCATCGAAACGAGGTAGTCAATACCTAGAAGGTTCATACAGCACGAGGTTCACGAACCATTCGAATGGCAGTTTCAACCCTCCCAACTCGCTCGCATCATCAAATAGCTCTCTCAAGAAAGCACAACGGCCGCCATCCCTCAGTCGCAGCGTTTCCAGTTCGGGAAGCGGGCCGAGAGACCTCGTACTGCGCTATGCAAACCGGCCTGTCGGTATATTTGACCCTGCAGCAGCCGGACTCAAAACTCGGGCGTCTCTAACATCGCCATCTATGTCTTCTTTGCCAGAGATTTCCTACTTCTTCCCAAGTGACGCCCATGGACCTACTATAGCTACCGAAGGAAGTCCACCCGATAATCAGCCAATGACACCAAAAGATCTGTCATTAGAAATAGCCTCTAAAAATTCGAAGGTCGAGTCCACCGGTGTCGAGGATGTCGCTTGGGTGGCCCGATCACCAACATTGGTCGACTTCAGTACCGACTCAAAGATCGTGGACACGCAAACCATTATGAAAAGAATATCATTGAATCAGGGCTTCCTTGCTGGGGAAGCACAAGAAGTGGTTTTACCAGACGAAGACGATGAATCAGTCCTCGAAGCGCCATCCGTGGCGGAAGATATGGCGGAAGATACAGCGAGCGAAGCGAACGCAGAGCCGCTGCTGAACCCTGAGTCTACCACCGGAATGGAGCCTACAGCAGGGTACATGCTGTTGACAAATGGACCGCAGCCAACAGGCGAACTAGAGACGGTTCCTGAAGCAGCAGAATCAGACCTGGAGGTACTTGAACCAAAGGATACTCGCCCAGAACCAGAAGACTCTCCGGTCGCAGATGTACCAGAAATCCCATCAAAGAACCCAAATCGCTATTCCCTTTCGCCCACATCGTCAGCAAGCACACGCACCAACTTCAGCCGCCCGCTCTCATACCAGCCTCCTCTAGAGACAAAGATTCCTTCGCGGCCTTCGAGTGCCAGAACTATCCTCCCAACCTCATCTCTAGATACCCCTACTATTCTAGAAGCCACTACAACGGATGAAGCTGTTGTTAACCTCGCCCCGTTGAACCAGAACAACCACTTCCGACAGTATAGCATGGATGACACGGCATCAATAGCGGGTTCCGTTGCCGCTAGCTCCATTGCGCCCTCTGAGATGAGCGCGCGATGGTTCCAGTCGCCGCGCGAGCGGCTAGGGCTTGGAGGTAGAATCAGGAAGAACGACGCGCTGCCCTGGGAGATGGGACTGGGCGAACGGGATGCGGCAGACAAAAAGAACAGTAAAAGGAACAGGTTGAGTCTGTTTGGGAAGAGCGCGGCTTGATTGATACATGCATGAGACATGATGGAAACGAGCTCGGAGTTATGAATTTTACGCACAGCGCTTTGGAAGCGCGTCAGACCTACTGTAATAGATGAGCTGACAGGTAGCGATTCTAGCGCTCTTCGGGAGCCGGGTTGGGATTGAGTTTGACGAATTAGTCATGAATGGGAAAGGGGCTATGTTTGCAAGGTTTTTTCTCGCTGAGATTCCTATTTCTTGGGCTTGGTGTGGTTGGATATTCGGATACCCGGTGGCGCCAGTGGCAAGGCTTTTACCCCTGGGCTTGATTAAGTAAATGTCGGAGATAACATAATGTGGAATATCGCTTATACGAATATTGTTCTCCCATCTGCTGTTGACGGCTACTATACTTAGGAATCCTACAAATTGACATTTAACCTTGGCACGAGTGGCGAATTTCAGGAGAGTAGTTTACATAACACTAGTGAAGATGGCAGCTGATGGAAGGAATATCTGCCTTGTAAAAGGCTATAGTGGTAGGCTGGAGCCTGATTTCTTGCTTTTAGTCCCAAAGGTTGCTGCGTGAGTGACGCTGTCCTGGCTGTCTTGACGGCCTAGCGTCTTCTGCCTGGTGAAGAAAGCGGGCCGAGCCAATCGCCGATTTATCAACTTCACCAAACACGTCAAACACGGCCTCCATCCGAACCCGACTCGACTTCCAACCCTCAACCTCGCCATCTTACTCCTTGCCTCCCCCCCAATCCACACCACACCATGGCCACCGCCACTCCTGACTGCTGAGTAGACCTGTGCTGGTCTTCTGCAGTCTCGTACGCGTGCGTGTAGACTCGACCTCAACATTCGCTTCGAACGACAACCAGCACCGTCTCGCCGGAATCCTGCAGCCATGTACATAACCTCGGAGCTGTTCACGACCGAACCGGCCTCTGCAAACGAAACCAGTTCCACGGATTGGAACTCCATGTCAGACTGGCCTGAGAACTCTCTCTTCCCGGCCAATCTGGGCAAGCGGAAAAGGAACACAGATGGAGACACCGAAAAAGCATCCTCTTCCTACGCGAACCAAGCCAGCGGAAGTCCCTACAATTTCAACCTCGAGGCAGCGTTCAATCCTCGCCAGAACCTCTTGCGAACCCGCTCGTTGCCAGTCTCGCACAATGACATCCGCATCTTCCACACCTCCCAACTACCCAGTGGTCCGCGCTCGCTCTTCTCACACGATCTGCCACGCGCCGGCAGTAGCAGCTATCAGCCGCCACATCTAGACGTGGACGGCCCCCCACTTGCTAAGCATCGCCGCAAAATCCTGCCACCGAAACCCTCTCGCATCGCCGCCTTCGCCACTACGACGGCCAACCCCGCAGCCTCGAAACCATCTTCACAGGACCTTCGTTCCTGCAAGATCTGCCACAAAGCACCGACGCGGAATCGCGATCTCGAGACCTACATCTCATGCCACGCGTGTGGAGAACGGGCGTGTCAGATCTGTACGCGAACATGCGAGGGAGGGTGCGCGAAGCTAGTGTGCAGCGCGTGCTGTAAGGAGGTTGGCAATGATGGCGACGCCTGGTGTGTTCGCTGTGTAGAGAGGAGGGAAGATGGAGCTGGAGATCAGATGGTCTGAATGTTTCGACTCTCCGGGAACGGCTGGATATCATCGAGATCCCTACCCGCTTTTACAGCCAAGAGGACACGGGCGACCCGCTACATGCGATCTTTCCAGAGAAAGAGGGCTTTTCATACGGCTAGCCACCTGGAACTTTGTTTTGTCTTATTCCATTGGATTCAGCGAGCGGGTTTTGGAGACTTGGACGTAATATTTCAGCATCGGCGTTAGCATTGGTGGGATACCAGGACTCTTACGATTTCTTTAACTTCCTTTCGATCCCATTCTCGGCATTTTATACCCCAACCGCCCGCGGCAGGAGTTCGATCTTGCTCTGGAGACTCTCACAGTACATGGAAGGCTGCCCTGACAACCTAGCGGAGAGTTTCGGGCTCGATTCTCATTGGTAAATTTAAAGGGCGTAGCATCATATAGCACCACCATTTGTCCAACAGCATAACACAGGATAGCATAGCCAGTCATGGACTAGTCGGAGCGGCTGTGGTAGTAGAGATAATAATGTAGTCATGTTTCCACTAGTCGCTTCGTTGTGTGATATCTGTCACGTCTTCTTATCTCTACCTCGTGTTTCCCAGAGTCACCTCCCCTAGTATTGGCATCACAGCCAGCTCACATCCTCATCATGAACACTTCCCTACGACCCTCTGCCCCTTTCAACGCCCACATCACTTCCCCATGGCCCATCACACCGCCAGAACACCCTCTCCTTTCCCCACCCTATATCTCACACCCCTCAACCCTCCTCCATCCCCACCACGCCATCTCCCCTACACCACAGCCCACAAAACCCGCCAACTAACCACCAAAAAACCCCAAATCAAGACTAACACATGACCAAAGTCTCCTTCCGCTGGAAATGCTGCCAATCCGGCCACTTCCAACCCCTCACGACGCCCTGCCCCTGCGCCCACAAGCGCTGCAAGAAATGCCAGTACGTCCACGTGCGCCCGCCGCTGCTGAAGCGCAAAGCCCCTCCTGCCCCTAATCCTGAGGCAGCGGGTATGGGCGGCCAGCCGGTTTTCACGCAGCCGCCGCAGGGAGGGTTCCAGGGCGGGTTTGGGGGACAGCAGCAGCCGCAGGGGCAGTTTCAGGGGCAGAATAACCAGGGCGGGTTTGGGGAGGGGGACTTTGAGGAGGGGGACGCGGCGACGGGGCAGGCGGATTCGATGATAGGGGAGGGGGCGTCGCGGGGTTCGAGGGGTGGAGGGGCGGGGACGGGGATGCAGTTTCGACGGGGCGGGCGGTAGGGGTGGGCTGGGGTGTTGATGTGGGTGGAGGAGGAGGAGGTAGGTAGATAGGGGGATAGGGACGGTTTAGCGTACTGGTGTTATGATAGCTAATGTATTGGGAGTGCTTTGATGTCTTCTTTAGCATAATCCAGTCGACCGCGCTGGGTGAGACTGTAGCCAGTTCTTCCTATCGCACTTGTGTGTGCTAGATGCTCCAGTTTCTCTAGAAGCCAGTGTGGTTTAGTTGGCTATAACGTGTTCGATACGGTGGTAGCTCGCACCGCCCGTCGAGCAGGACCCGAGTTCGATCCTCGGCGCTGACCCTTGGGAGTCTTCTCTTTTGCTTTTTAGTTTTGCTATTCAAGTGAATGCTCCAAGTTTTGCGTCATGAGTGTAGCATTTAAGCAGAGTAGTTAGGCAGTAGAAGACGGATCACGCATCTGTGAAACTACAGGAAGCTTTGAACGTCAATGTACAAATCGAGGACTTCTTTTATTTGGGTATAGAAGATATGAATACATTTGAGCTCTCACAATGTCTTTGGTTTGCTTCGTTCGCTGCTGATGGCTCTGAATTTGCTCCCAAATATGCCACTCTTGGTGGCTAGATTCCACAAGCACCAAAGATAACATATCCCGAAGCCTGCGGCACCGATAAGCACGTTCAACACGACCCATAAGTCTGGCAAGCGCTCTGGAGGGGGGACAAAGCCTTCTAACACATGCCATCCAATCATAGCGAGATAAATATTGAGATGAAGAATCTTCGTCCCCAGAGTCAAGCCTCCAGATGTCCCTTCGTAGTATGCGGAGAGCGAAACGGGCGGGAGGCCGAGGAGGTATGCCCATAGGAGTGTGATGACGAAGTACGGAACCCGCAGGTCATCCCTCTTGAGAAGAGGAAACATAGTCCATACTCCTAGCATATTTGCTAGACCGACCCACGCCCTGATTGAAGGTAGTAGCCCCCGTTTTCCACTCAGTAAAACGGTCATCGGTAGAAGTGGCAGGAGCACATTCTTCTCGTGGACCTGATACGAGCAGAGGAAGAAGCCCCAGGAGGTGGCCGCGAGAGCTAGAGGGAGAAGGTCCTTGCGTGGTTTGATAAGGAGGATAAGGCATGGCGGAGCTATGGCAGCAGAGGTGGCAAGGAGAGCCGCACGTTGGACCAGCGCGCTGGGATATTGATTGAGTTTGTGCCAGGTGTGAATCGCGCACCAGACGTTGGCGACTTTATCTTCAAACAGGCCGCGCGCGAATGGGAAGATTCGGTGGACTGATTGGAAGAATTGGAGCACTATGGGGTAGTACCACGCCTTTTCGTTGAGGTTAATAGGCAGGGATGCCAGAAGAGGAGGAACGGAGTAGTTGGACATGTCGATGCCCCTGTATGAATCGTATGCTACTCCTAGAAGGAATGGAGCATAGAGTAAAGCGAAGGATACCGCGGTAACCAGCGCGATAGCAATTAAGCGTAGTGTTTTTATGCGCGGGACAAAACAGATGCCCAAGAGGTAGACAAAAAAAGCCGGGGCGTAGAACAGAGCCATCTGTTTAAAACCAAGGGCTGCTACGAAGAACACGCAGCCCCATAGTGGGCGACCTGCAATCATGCTTGACATGCTACCAAGCACTAAACCGAGCATTACGGTGTTGTATTGGAAGTGACCGTGGTCAATGAGCATGGTTCCGGGTTGCATCAGAACAGCCACAAGCGCAATGGATGCTTCCCACAGGTTTACTCCTTCTAGCCGCGAGAACCGACGGAGGAAGATTATAGCGGCGGGTATGTAGATGAAGTATTCTGAGACGAAGACGGTGGCGCGCATGTATATCTTTAGGGACGGGTCATCGAGGCCACGGGAAGTGAACAGCGCAAACCAGCCTGGGTTTATGAGCGTGCCACTGTAATGTGTAAGTTTTTAGTACGATGTTCGAAGATACAATCACGTACACCGCACCAAGCAGCCAGCTATGATACGCCGTGAGAGGGGGATAGTCTAATCCCCACCACTCTAGGTCATGAAAGTACCATTGGGAAACGGGCAGGCGCGTGGTAATCTCCATCCAGTGTCTTTGCGCTTCAAAGTCCCCGTGCATGGGTGGCGACTCATAGCCTGCTTGTATCAGCCTTGATTGATCCAGCAGAAGAACCATATGTACCAGAGTATCCCCAAAATCCAGTCGTCCATCGAAACAGCCCAACTGCCATTAGAATTAAAGGGAGAGTGACCCATTGCGACACTGTCCCTTTGGCAGGCCAGAGAAAGGCAACGAGAGGAAAGGCAGGTTTTGGGGTGTTCGTATTATCAATTGTGCCATGGGTGACGTGTGCGAGGGAGCTCTCTTGGATGCGTCTCCTTCGAGGCTTGTGGGGTTGTGGGGAGGCCATGACGAGTGTTCGCTGGATCAAAGGAGCGTGTGCGGTTGTCGAGTGGGCATTTCGGTTCCAGAGAGGTGTTTGGCTGGCGATTTCGAGTCTCCAGCCGATGTACTGGCGCGAACGATGCACGTTGCTCCCTTGGTGTTGAACTTCTGAAATCCATGCAGGGGTCTGCAGGTGCGGCAACCACCGTCTTGGCGTTCCTCACCGCCTTGGGTTTCGCCCCACCCAAAAGGCTAGCGCAGAAATTTCTACGTCAAATAGCTCCCGCCTCTCCATTTTCTTCTTCCTCCTCCACCACCAACCTTTCGCATTCTTCTCCGCGACTCCATCTACTTTCCCCTTGAGCATCATCTCAAGGACTTCACTTGTGGGCTTTCTGAGGGTTTATCTGAGGGCATACCTGTGAGCGTTACCGTGGGCAGCGACATCATCGCAAATACAATTACCAGAGCTTAAGTCAGTGGGCACTCGAGACACAGTCTCTCTTCCTTTACACACATCGTGGGTTGCATTATCTTTGTGGGCTTTCACCGCGCCATTGAGCGTGAGTGAGATACAGTTCCAGTGGGCTTTTGACTACTGTGGGTTTTTTTCGCACATTTTCTCGGCTTTTGTGGGAACACGATGCCTTGGAAGCGGACTTCTGTGGGCTCTGTGGGCTAGTGGGCTATTACACTTGTGGGCTTGAGGGATTCCGTGTCACACGCGGTCTCTAAAGAATTCAGTGGGCTACTGCACGTTGAGGAAACCAGACCGAAAAGACGAACTTCTCCCAGTCCCTTGCGCTTGACCCGTCTAAGGTCGTTGACGCAAAGGCAAGCTACTGCTTGTCTAGACTACCCGCGACCTTTTTTGCGCCTTCGCATCTAGTCCGCTGGCGGCACAGTTACTGACTCGTCCTAGATCAAGAAAACGCTTCAGCACCATCAATATGTCCAAAGTCAAGGCAGGCAAAGGCGATATCGCCAAGGTCTCGAAGAAGGATACCAAAAAGGTAGCTCCTGTCAAAGAAGGCCGCGTTACGAAACCCGCTCAGACCCCAAAGGCAAAGAGCAAGGAAGTTGCCAAGTCCGCCGCCGCCAAGGTCGAGAAGTCGTCGAAGAAGTCCAAGAAGGTAGCTACTCCTTCTCCTGAGCCCGAGTCTGAATCCGAGTCGGATTCCAGCGACGCCAGCGAGTCGAGTGCCTCCTCTTCCAGCAGCGAGAGCGATAGCGATAGCGACGCCGAAGTGGCTCCTAAGAAACTCAATGGTGTCAAGACTAATGGTGCCGTAAAGGCTCCAGCAACGGCCGACTCTTCCGACGACGACTCGAGCGAGGCAGATAGCGATAGCAGCGACAGCGAGGCCGAGGCTGCCCCTACACCTGTGAAGGCAAACGGAGCCAAGGCCAATGGCGCTGCTAAGGCGGCGGCTACTTCGGACTCTGATTCATCGGATGAGAGCGCGAGCAGCGAGGACGAGTCCGAGGATGAGAAGCCCGCTGCGACCAAGGCCAATGGAGCTGCGAAGGCCAAGAGCGCTGCTGTCAAGGCAGAGGACAGTGTAAGTAAAAGCAGGGCGTTCTTGGAGTAGCATGTCACTAACGAGAGCAGGATTCTTCTGATGACGACTCTGCCGACTCTGAGGCTGCTTCTGACGATTCCGACTCGAGCGAAGATGAGGCTCCTTCCAAGAAGCGCAAGGCTGAGACCGAGACCACTCCAGCTGCGAAGAAGACTAAGGTCGAGCCTGAAGCTGATGAGGGCATCAAGAACCTGTTTGTTGGCAACCTGAGCTGGAACATTGACGAGGAATGGCTCACCCGTCACTTCGAGGAGTACGGAGAGATCACTGGGGCTCGTATCATTACGGACAAGGCCACTGGCAAGGCCAAGGGGTATGAAAATTTGCTTGTAACCTTACCTTGTCATCCGCTAACTGGGTTAGATTTGGATACGTCGAATTCGCATCTGGCGCCTCTGCCAAGGCCGCTCTCGAGGCGCTGAATGGCACCGAACTTGATGGTCGCAACTTGAACGTTGACTACAGCACCCCTCGCTCCACCGAGAACAAGTCCTTTGCGGACCGCAGCAATGACCGTAGCAAGCGCTTCGGTGACCAGAAGGGCGCCCCTGCCAACACTCTGTTTGTTGGCAACATCTCATTCGAGGCCACTAACGACATGATCTCCGAATACTTCTCGGAGTACGGCACAATCACCCGTGTGTCTCTCCCGACCGACCAGGAGACCGGCAACGCCAAGGGTTTCGGATACGTCGACTTCACTACCGTCGAGGAAGCTACGGCTGCCCTCGAGGCTCTCAACGGCGCCGACATTGCTGGCCGTGCCATTCGTCTTGACTACGCAACTCCTCGCCCAGATAACGGTGGAGGCGGACGTGGCGGCGGGTTCTCCCGTGGCGGCGGACGTGGTGGCGGACGCGGTGGCTTTGACCGCGGCGGACGTGGTGGTGGACGTGGCCGTGGTGGATTTGACCGTGGAGGCCGTGGCGGAGGACGCGGTGGAGGCCGTGGAGGCTCCTCGTACAACCGTGGTGGCTTCGGCGACTTCCAGGGCAAGAAGGTCACCTTCTAGATGCCTTCCATGTCAGCTTGCTGCATCTGGATCTCGTTTCGCAGAAATTGGGCACGAATGTCGACTGGTAGGTCATGATGTATCGGCGCCGATTCTGTATAGGAGGCTCCTAGCCTCAGGTATGATGGCATGACACGAGTATGAGTAGCTCCGATTTCCTAATATATTTTCTTTGGTTGGGCATAAAAGTTGTCTTGTTTTCACTCTTTCTGCACGATACCCTTCTCTGTACCATACCTTCGTCACGCTGCTAGTGGTGTCTCTGCAAGGTTGTGGTTCGGCGAGGGGTGCGCCATGCACCGTTCAAGTGTGTGTCTGCTCTCCTTGGGTAGTAGTGTACGTAAACAATGAGTTTTGCTGAA